GTTGGGTCATCTGGCCTGGCTACCCTGTGCCGGCCATTGTTTGTGTTGGGTCATCTGGCCTGGCTACCCTGTGCCGGCTATTGTTTGTGTTGGGTCGTGTGGCCTGGCTACCCTGTGCCAGCCATTGTTTGTGTTGGGTCATGTGGCCTGGCTACCCTGTGCCGGCTATTGTTTGTGTTGGGTCGTGTGGCCTGGCTACCCTGTGCCAGCCATTGTTTGTGTTGGGTCGTGTGGCCTGGCTACCCTGTGCCAGCCATTGTTTGTGTTGGGTCATCTGGCCTGGCTACCCTGTGCCGGCTATTGTTTGTGTTGGGTCGTGTGGCCTGGCTACCCTGTGCCAGCCATTGTTTGTGTTGGGTCGTGTGGCCTGGCTACCCTGTGCCAGCCATTGTTTGTGTTGGGTCATGTGGCCAGGCCTCCCTGTGCCGGCTATTGTTTGTGTTGGGTCATCTGGCCTGGCTACCCTGTGCTGGACATTGTTTGTGTTGGGTCATCTGGCCAGGCTACCCTGTGCTGGCCATTGTTTGTGTTGGGTCATGTGGCCTGGCTACCCTGTGCCGGCCATTGTTTGTGTTGGGTCATCTGGCCAGGCCTCCCTGTGCCAGCCATTGTTTGTGTTGGGTCATGTGGCCTGGCTACCCTGTGCCGGCTATTGTTTGTGTTGGGTCATCTGGCCTGGCTACCCTGTGATGGACATTGTTTGTGTTGGGTCATCTGGCCAGGCCTCCCTGTGCCGGCCATTGTTTGTGTTGGGTCGTGTGGCCTGGCTACCCTGTGCCGGCCATTGTTTGTGTTGGGTCATCTGGCCTGGCTACCCTGTGCCGGCCATTGTTTGTGTTGGGTCATGTGGCCAGGCCTCCCTGTGCCGGCCATTGTTTGTGTTGGGTCGTGTGGCCTGGCTACCCTGTGCTGGACATTGTTTGTGTTGGGTCATGTGGCCTGGCTACCCTGTGCCAGCCATTGTTTGTGTTGGGTCATGTGGCCAGGCCTCCCTGTGCTGGACATTGTTTGTGTTGGGTCGTGTGGCCTGGCTACCCTGTGCCGGCCATTGTTTGTGTTGGGTCGTGTGGCCTGGCTACCCTGTGCCAGCCATTGTTTGTGTTGGGTCATGTGGCCAGGCTACCCTGTGCTGGACATTGTTTGTGTTGGGTCATCTGGCCTGGCTACCCTGTGCTGGACATTGTTTGTGTTGGGTCATCTGGCCTGGCTACCCTGTGCTGGACATTGTTTGTGTTGGGTCATCTGGCCTGGCTACCCTGTGCCGGCCATTGTTTGTGTTGGGTCATGTGGCCAGGCTACCCTGTGCTGGACATTGTTTGTGTTGGGTCATCTGGCCTGGCTACCCTGTGCCGGCCATTGTTTGTGTTGGGTCATCTGGCCTGGCTACCCTGTGCTGGACATTGTTTGTGTTGGGTCATGTGGCCTGGCTACCCTGTGCCAGCCATTGTTTGTGTTGGGTCGTGTGGCCTGGCTACCCTGTGCCAGCCATTGTTTGTGTTGGGTCGTGTGGCCTGGCTACCCTGTGCCAGCCATTGTTTGTGTTGGGTCGTGTGGCCTGGCTACCCTGTGCCAGCCATTGTTTGTGTTGGGTCATGTGGCCAGGCTACCCTGTGCTGGACATTGTTTGTGTTGGGTCATCTGGCCTGGCTACCCTGTGCTGGACATTGTTTGTGTTGGGTCATCTGGCCTGGCTACCCTGTGCTGGACATTGTTTGTGTTGGGTCATCTGGCCTGGCTACCCTGTGCCGGCTATTGTTTGTGTTGGGTCATCTGGCCTGGCTACCCTGTGCTGGACATTGTTTGTGTTGGGTCATCTGGCCTGGCTACCCTGTGCTGGACATTGTTTGTGTTGGGTCATCTGGCCTGGCTACCCTGTGCCGGCCATTGTTTGTGTTGGGTCATGTGGCCTGGCTACCCTGTGCCGGCCATTGTTTGTGTTGGGTCATCTGGCCTGGCTACCCTGTGCTGGACATTGTTTGTGTTGGGTCATCTGGCCTGGCTACCCTGTGCCGGCTATTGTTTGTGTTGGGTCTTGTGGCCTGGCTACCCTGTGCCGGCTATTGTTTGTGTTGGGTCATGTGGCCTGGCTACCCTGTGCTGGACATTGTTTGTGTTGGGTCATGTGGCCTGGCTACCCTGTGCCAGCCATTGTTTGTGTTGGGTCATGTGGCCAGGCCTCCCTGTGCTGGACATTGTTTGTGTTGGGTCATCTGGCCTGGCTACCCTGTGCTGGACATTGTTTGTGTTGGGTCATGTGGCCAGGCCTCCCTGTGCTGGACATTGTTTGTGTTGGGTCATGTGGCCAGGCCTCCCTGTGCTGGACATTGTTTGTGTTGGGTCGTGTGGCCTGGCTACCCTGTGCTGGACATTGTTTGTGTTGGGTCATGTGGCCAGGCCTCCCTGTGCTGGACATTGTTTGTGTTGGGTCGTGTGGCCTGGCTACCCTGTGCCGGCTATTGTTTGTGTTGGGTCTTGTGGCCTGGCTACCCTGTGCCAGCCATTGTTTGTGTTGGGTCATCTGGCCTGGCTACCCTGTGCCGGCCATTGTTTGTGTTGGGTCATGTGGCCAGGCTACCCTGTGCTGGACATTGTTTGTGTTGGGTCGTGTGGCCTGGCTACCCTGTGCCGGCCATTGTTTGTGTTGGGTCATGTGGCCAGGCCTCCCTGTGCCAGCCATTGTTTGTGTTGGGTCATCTGGCCTGGCTACCCTGTGCTGGACATTGTTTGTGTTGGGTCGTGTGGCCTGGCTACCCTGTGCCGGCCATTGTTTGTGTTGGGTCATGTGGCCAGGCCTCCCTGTGCCAGCCATTGTTTGTGTTGGGTCATCTGGCCTGGCTACCCTGTGCCGGACATTGTTTGTGTTGGGTCATGTGGCCAGGCTACCCTGTGCCGGCCATTGTTTGTGTTGGGTCATGTGGCCAGGCCTCCCTGTGCTGGCCACTGTGTTGGGTCATGTGGCCTGGCTACCCTGTGCCGGCCATTGTTTGTGTTGGGTCATGTGGCCAGGCCTCCCTGTGCTGGCCACTGTGTTGGGTCATCTGGCCTGGCTACCCTGTGCTGGCCACTGTGTTGGGTCATGTGGCCTGGCTACCCTGTGCCGGCCATTGTTTGTGTTGGGTCTTGTGGCCTGGCTACCCTGTGCCGGCTATTGTTTGTGTTGGGTCATGTGGCCAGGCCTCCCTGTGCCAGCCATTGTTTGTGTTGGGTCATGTGGCCTGGCTACCCTGTGCTGGACATTGTTTGTGTTGGGTCATGTGGCCTGGCTACCCTGTGCCAGCCATTGTTTGTGTTGGGTCATGTGGCCTGGCTACCCTGTGCCGGCCATTGTTTGTGTTGGGTCTTGTGGCCTGGCTACCCTGTGCCGGCTATTGTTTGTGTTGGGTCATGTGGCCAGGCCTCCCTGTGCCAGCCATTGTTTGTGTTGGGTCATGTGGCCTGGCTACCCTGTGCCGGCCATTGTTTGTGTTGGGTCTTGTGGCCTGGCTACCCTGTGCCGGCTATTGTTTGTGTTGGGTCATGTGGCCAGGCCTCCCTGTGCCAGCCATTGTTTGTGTTGGGTCATGTGGCCTGGCTACCCTGTGCTGGACATTGTTTGTGTTGGGTCATGTGGCCTGGCTACCCTGTGCCAGCCATTGTTTGTGTTGGGTCATGTGGCCTGGCTACCCTGTGCCGGCCATTGTTTGTGTTGGGTCTTGTGGCCTGGCTACCCTGTGCCGGCTATTGTTTGTGTTGGGTCATGTGGCCAGGCCTCCCTGTGCCAGCCATTGTTTGTGTTGGGTCATGTGGCCTGGCTACCCTGTGCCAGCCATTGTTTGTGTTGGGTCATGTGGCCTGGCTACCCTGTGCCCGCTATTGTTTGTGTTGGGTCATGTGGCCTGGCTACCCTGTGCCGGCCATTGTTTGTGTTGGGTCTTGTGGCCTGGCTACCCTGTGCCGGCTATTGTTTGTGTTGGGTCATGTGGCCAGGCCTCCCTGTGCCAGCCATTGTTTGTGTTGGGTCATGTGGCCTGGCTACCCTGTGCCGGACATTGTTTGTGTTGGGTCATGTGGCCAGGCTACCCTGTGCTGGACATTGTTTGTGTTGGGTCATGTGGCCTGGCTACCCTGTGCCGGCCATTGTTTGTGTTGGGTCATGTGGCCTGGCTACCCTGTGCCGGCTATTGTTTGTGTTGGGTCGTGTGGCCTGGCTACCCTGTGCCGGCCATTGTTTGTGTTGGGTCGTGTGGCCTGGCTACCCTGTGCCAGCCATTGTTTGTGTTGGGTCGTGTGGCCTGGCTACCCTGTGCCCGCTATTGTTTGTGTTGGGTCGTGTGGCCTGGCTACCCTGTGCCGGCCATTGTTTGTGTTGGGTCGTGTGGCCTGGCTACCCTGTGCCGGCCATTGTTTGTGTTGGGTCTTGTGGCCTGGCTACCCTGTGCCGGCTATTGTTTGTGTTGGGTCATGTGGCCAGGCCTCCCTGTGCCAGCCATTGTTTGTGTTGGGTCGTGTGGCCTGGCTACCCTGTGCCGGCTATTGTCATATTGATTCGTGTAGCCAAGCTGGATGTCTTGTCCGATTGGTTGACAAGGTACCTGATAGTAGAATATTACATGCTCATTACATCAGTCACTGGTTAATCTGGTCCACACTCCATTATCTACCAGTACATCATTCCTGTATTTGTAGGAATGAGTTAATCTGAGTTACCACTTTATCTATGTAACAGACACAAAACAGTCTGTTTCTTGTTCAACGCTGAAATCATCAATATTCCAGCCATTTGATGGCTGCCTTTAAACAATTGAGTCTGGATCAGACAATCCAGTGATTGATATTATGAGCAACAATCCATGTCATTAGTGTACTCTGACACACCATAACCAAGTCACAAAAGCATGACAACCTCATCCATTCAGTTGCCTCTTGTTACCAGCATATGGTGCTGGGACTTTAATAACCTGCAATCCTTCTGCAGTTGTGGACATGCTTGTCGGTCTTGTCAGTGACAAATGCATAAACAGTTGGAAAAAATAATTTAATCTCAAAACACTGAAGTACAATATTGAAACACACCATACTATTACGACACCACTTTTCAACACCAACAGTTCACAGTGAGTTCTGAAGCCATGGCTATCATGGACATCCGGGTCTGTCCAACTTTCTGATAACATGTTGCTTCACGAAAGCCCTGACAAGGTTGTACTTGCGCTCATCTGGAAAATGTGTAGCTAAACCATTTTTATTTCTTGTTCCAATATGTTTCTAGGCCAATTTGCCCAAGTGCAGGGCCTCAAACAGTACAGTAGTCCGATCCCAAGACCAGATAGGGCAACCAACCTGTTGCATGCCTGTGAGTGGGATGTATTGCATTGTCAATGTGGCAGTTTCAGACTTGAGACGCCTGTATGGGAAGTGAGGATCTGACTCGGATGTGTTGCATGCTGGGATCTGTTCCATGGTAGTGGCCGGCACCATCATCTGTAAACACAAGCATTTGTATCAGTGTGGACAAAGTCCCGACTCCCTGTACACTGTCCCACCTCCCTGTACAATGTCCCACCTCCCTGTACAATGTCCTACCTCCCTGTACAATGTCCTACCTCTTTGTACAATGTCCCACTGTGCTGTACAATGTCCCACCTGCCTGTACAATGTCCTACCTCCCTGTACAATGTCCTACCTCCCTGTACAATGTCCCACCTCCCTGTACACTGTCCTAACTCCCTGTACAATGTCCTACCTCCCTGTACAATGTCCTAACTCCCTGTACAATGTCCCACCTCCCTGTACAATGTCCTAACTCCCTGTACACTGTCCTAACTCCCTGTACAATGTCCTACCTCCCTGTACAATGTCCTACCTCCCTGTACACTGTCCTAACTCCCTGTACAATGTCCTACCTGCCTGTACAATGTCCTACCTCCCTGTACAATGTCCTACCTGCCTGTACAATGTCCTACCTCCCTGTACAATGTCCTACCTGCCTGTACAATGTCCTACCTCCCTGTACAATGTCCTACCTCCCTGTACAATGTCCTACCTGCCTGTACAATGTCCTACCTCCCTGTACAATGTCCTAACTCCCTGTACAATGTCCTACCTCCCTGTACAATGTCCTACCTCCCTGTACAATGTCCTACCTCTTTGTACAATATGTCACTGTGCTGTACAATGTCTTACCTCCCTGTACAATGTCCTACCTCCCTGTACAATGTCCTACCTCCCTGTACAATGTCCTAACTCCCTGTACAATGTCCTACCTGCCTGTACAATGTCCTACCTCCCTGTACACTGTCCCACCTCCCTGTACAATGTCCTACCTCCCTGTACAATGTCCTACCTGCCTGTACAATGTCCTACCTCCCTGTACAATGTCCTACCTCCCTGTACACTGTCCTACCTCCCTGTACAATGTCCTACCTCCCTGTACAATGTCCTACCTCCCTGTACAATGTCCTACCTCCCTGTACACTGTCCCACCTCCCTGTACACTGTCCTACCTCCCTGTACAATGTCCTACCTCTTTGTACAATATGTCACTGTGCTGTACAATGTCCTACCTCCCTGTACAATGTCCTACCTCCCTGTACAATGTCCTACCTCCCTGTACAATGTCCTACCTCCCTGTACACTGTCCCACCTCCCTGTACACTGTCCTACCTCCCTGTACAATGTCCTACCTCTTTGTACAATGTGTCACTGTGCTGTACAATGTCCTACCTCCCTGTACAATGTCCTACCTCCCTGTACAATGTCCTACCTCCCTGTACAATGTCCTAACTCCCTGTACAATGTCCTACCTGCCTGTACAATGTCCTACCTCCCTGTACACTGTCCCACCTCCCTGTACAATGTCCCACCTCCCTGTACAATGTCCTACCTCCCTGTACAATGTCCTAACTCCCTGTACAATGTCCTACCTCCCTGTACAATGTCCTACCTCCCTGTACAATGTCCTACCTCCCTGTACACTGTCCCACCTCCCTGTACAATGTCCTACCTCCCTGTACAATGTCCTAACTCCCTGTACAATGTCCTACCTCCCTGTACAATGTCCTACCTCCCTGTACACTGTCCTACCTCCCTGTACAATGTCCTACCTCCCTGTACAATGTCCTACCTCCCTGTACACTGTCCTAACTCCCTGTACAATGTCCTACCTCCCTGTACACTGTCCCACCTCCCTGTACAATGTCCTACCTGCCTGTACAATGTCCCACCTCCCTGTACAATGTCCTACCTGCCTGTACAATGTCCTACCTCCCTGTACAATGTCCCACCTCCCTGTACAATGTCCTACCTCCCTGTACAATGTCCTACCTCTTTGTACAATGTGTCACTGTGCTGTACAATGTCCCACCTCCCTGTACAATGTCCTACCTCTTTGTACAATGTGTCACTGTGCTGTACAATGTCCTACCTCCCTGTACAATGCCCTACCTCTTTGTACAATGTGTCACTGTGCTGTACAATGTCCTACCTCCCTGTACAATGTCCTACCTGCCTGTACAATGTCCCACCTCCCTGTACAATGTCCTACCTCCCTGTACAATGTCCCACCTCCCTGTACAATGTCCTACCTCCCTGTACAATGTCCTACCTGCCTGTACAATGTCCTACCTCCCTGTACACTGTCCTACCTCCCTGTACACTGTCCCACCTCCCTGTACAATGTCCTACCTCCCTGTACAATGTCCTACCTCTTTGTACAATGTGTCACTGTGCTGTACAATGTCCTACCTCCCTGTACAATGTCCTACCTCCCTGTACAATGTCCTACCTCCCTGTACACTGTCCCACCTCCCTGTACACTGTCCTAACTCCCTGTACAATGTCCTACCTCCCTGTACAATGTCCTACCTCCCTGTACAATGTCCTACCTCTTTGTACAATGTGTCACTGTGCTGTACAATGTCCTACCTCCCTGTACAATGTCCTACCTCCCTGTACAATGTCCCACCTCCCTGTACAATGTCCTACCTCCCTGTACAATGTCCTACCTCTTTGTACAATGTGTCACTGTGCTGTACAATGTCCTACCTCCCTGTACAATGTCCTACCTCCCTGTACAATGTCCTACCTCCCTGTACAATGTCCCACCTCCCTGTACAATGTCCTACCTCCCTGTACAATGTCCTACCTGCCTGTACAATGTCCTACCTCCCTGTACACTGTCCTACCTCCCTGTACACTGTCCCACCTCCCTGTACAATGTCCTACCTCCCTGTACAATGTCCTACCTCTTTGTACAATGTGTCACTGTGCTGTACAATGTCCTACCTCCCTGTACAATGTCCTACCTCCCTGTACAATGTCCTACCTCCCTGTACACTGTCCCACCTCCCTGTACACTGTCCTAACTCCCTGTACAATGTCCTACCTCCCTGTACAATGTCCTACCTCCCTGTACAATGTCCTACCTCTTTGTACAATGTGTCACTGTGCTGTACAATGTCCTACCTCCCTGTACAATGTCCTACCTCCCTGTACAATGTCCCACCTCCCTGTACAATGTCCTACCTCCCTGTACAATGTCCTACCTCTTTGTACAATGTGTCACTGTGCTGTACAATGTCCTACCTCCCTGTACAATGTCCTACCTCCCTGTACAATGTCCTACCTCTTTGTACAATGTGTCACTGTGTTGTACAATGTCCTACCTTCCTGTACGATGCCCTGCTTCTGCACTGTGTAGGTGAAAGATGTGAAGGGGGCAACAGGCGACTTGGCTACCAGCACCTGCAACATACATCAGCAGTGCTTCACAGGAATCACAGTACTTGAATGTTACTTGTTTGTATGCTGCCACAAACATACACTACATAGAATTATAGAAAATAAGTATATGCTATTTTTCAGTGGTTATTGTTTTAAGATATCCATGAAACAAAATGTCTGACGTACCTGTCTCCTGTCAGCATCTAGGTACTGCAGGATGAGTCTGGTGTTGACGCTGTGACTCCAGGTGTTGCCAAGTGCGGCCGTCACGTAGCCTCCATCTCCCTCGGCTGTCACGCTGCTACTGCCATCTGGAAGAAAACAGGAGCTTAACTTACAAAACCAATCATATTTTAATTTTCAGCCATTTCAAACTTCACTAGGTTGCTGACACAACTTAGATATTTCAGTTAACAAAGATACTCTGAAATAACGAAACGCAAAAGTTGAAGAATCGTTTTTATCTGACAGTGTTGCTGACATCCATACAAAATTAATAGCAAAAATGAATTGAGTTGGTTATTTCTGCATGGATTGGGATCTATTTATGTGGAAAGAACGAGGTACTGCAGAAATTTGTGAAAAGATGGAAAAACGCAAAAACACAACCACATGAGTGCCTTGAGCCGAAACACATCAACATGACACGCACATGTAACATCACTTGTAGGGCTATTAAAATGATGGGTTTTCATTTGTATGCCATTACAATCTAACGCCATCGCCTGACTGTAAACTGGAGAATCTGCTTCGCCTGTAGCCAGGTTTTTCCATGTAGCACCAAGCACCATCACATGGTTATCAGACATACGGGACAACACGTGACCTTTCCCGATCCGGGCAACCAGGTATCACGACTAGAGCACAGGACAGATAAATACGGCTTCTTCACTTATGTGAAAGAACCACCACGGCCACCTCTACAGTTATGACAATACTAGGATTGTGTAGGATATCAGCCCAGACTGTGAGGGACCATTTACCTGCGGAAGGTATTCTCGCTACACGACCAGTTCGAGGTGTCATTTTGATGGGTCTGCATCGTCGGCTGCGACGTCTATGGTGTCAATTATGGCCAGATTTGAGATGGAGAGTTTGGTCCTGGTGACAAGTTGCGTTTTATGCTTTGTTGTGTGGATGGTAGACGTCCTTTCTATTATGCAACAAACGAACCTCATTTTCCGATGCCTGACCTCACAAGGCAAAACTAACAACGCCTGTTTCAGGAATCACAACATCCAGGTCCTGCCATGATTCTCCAGGTCATGAAAGCTTTTACTCTATTAAGAGTGAAGGCCATTTTACCACCTTAAGGTGAGGTGAGGTGAGGTGAGGTGAGGTGAGGTGAGGTGAGGTGAGGTGAGGTGAGGTGTAACACTGCGTCCAAGATTATTGCACTAATATGCACACTTGTGTGTGTGGCTGCTTGTACTAGTTGCTGATGCTCATTTATAGTGCTAGCCCACTGAGATACCATGCCGCAGTTTAACATGAATACCCCACTCAGACACAGTATACTGACTCCGAGCCGACCAGTCCTTGTTTAAGCCCCTTAATGCCAAGTGCCAGACAGGGTAACAACAAGTACCATCTTTTAACATCTTTGGTATGACGCGGTCGGAGATTGAAACCCGGACCTTCCGCTCTCCGGGTGGTTGCTCTACCACTAGACCACGAAGCGGTCACCACCTTAAGGCAAGCATTGAGTACTAGAATCACCTCAGGATTCTACCCTATTCCTCCAGAGCCCTTGTTTAGAAAAGATCATATTCTACCTGTAATACTTACCATTATCACAGTCCCCCACTGCATCTGGTCGGCCGTATCGTGTTGTAATCTGATTGGTGACCACAATCTGAAAACACCAATTAAGTAAACTTATTATTGAGTTACGTGACCTTGTGAAACTGTACACAGTAGAACCTCACTTGTACAGACCCTGTGAAACTGTACACAGTAGAACCTCACTTGTACAGACCCTGTAAGCCTGTACACAGTACAACCTCACTTGTACAGACCCTGTGAAACTGTACACAGTAGAACCTCACTTGTACAGACCCTGTGAAACTGTACACAGTAGAACCTCACATGTACAGACCCTGTAAGCCTGTACACAGTACAACCTCACTTGTACAGACCCTGTGAAACTTTACACAGTAGAACCTCACTTGTACAGACCCTGTGAAACTGTACACAGTAGAACCTCACATGTACAGACCCTGTTAAACTGTACACAGTAGAACCTCACTTGTACAGACCCTGTAAGCCTGTACACAGTAGAACCTCACATGTACAGACTGTGAAACTGTACACAGTACAACCTCACTTGTACAGACCCTGTGAAACTGTACACAGTAGAACCTCACTTGTACAGACTGTGAGAAACTGTACACAGTAGAACCTCACTTGTACAGACCCTGTCAAACTGTACACAGAACCTCACTTGTACAGACCCTCTGAAACTGTACACAGTAGAACCTCACATGTACAGACCCTGTGAAACTGTACACAGTAGAACCTCACATGTACAGACCCTGTGAAACTGTACACAGTAGAACCTCACTTGTACAGACCCTGTAAGCCTGTACACAGTAGAACCTCACATGTACAGACCGTGAAACTGTACACAGTAGAACCTCACTTGTACAGACCCTGTGAAACTGGCAACAACCATGTCTCATAAAGACTTCTAATACATCTATTCTGATCAGATACTTCTTTGCTTTTTCTGGAAAGTACATTGTGATACTCTCTACAGGATGGAAACCAATGAAATTATTGTCTGCAGTTTTAGCTCCAAAAGCTTGACAAGTGAATTCACTATGGTTACCAAATAAAATTCAAAGAGCTCATTCAAAGATTGAATCAAATAAAATTCATCAAATTTTAATGATATATATACTACTCAAGTTAAAGAAGAACCACAAATGGGAGGCTGTGTGTTGCAACACCCACCAGCCACTACGGATTAACTGACAAAAATCAGGTCTTCTTAGCTTCTTTGGAATATCATATGTGTAGTATATACAGAGCTCCAGATAACTTTTTGAGCATTTCAGTTCTTACTCTAGGGTTTCGATTTTAATTGGGTAATTACATTTTTCATTGGGTAACCAATATTTTTTCATAACTCTTTTGGGTTTTTTCCTAAAATTAGTGAACATTTTAAGATTTAAAAACAAATGAAATAATGTTTTAGATGTATATAACTGTTCTAAATATACAGGCTTGACTCGCAAAGTAAATTAGCTCTTAACTGTGTTTTGGAAATTAGCATGCTGAAAAAGCTTCATTGGGTATTTACGCAAGCTGTTTTTATACATTTGATTTTTTCATTTAATGCATGCATTTCTGTACGCAAGTTAATTGAAAGTAATCAGGTTTTGAATATTTGGGGGGGTGGGGGGGGTGGGGGGAGTATTTTAAGCAAATATGCTGCTTATCTGTAGCTCTGATATATGTCCATGACAGAAGCAGAGGATTTTGTCTGACTACACAGGACCTGGTCAGATCAACTCACTGTTACCTGGATCGTGACCAAATAGATTTTAACATCATAATTTTCAGGCAACTGAGGTTGAACGTTAGGCAAGTCATTTGCTACTTTTGAGTAAACCTTTTCAGGATTCTGTAATCTGTTTCCAGAAATAATGATGGAGACAAGTAATGATATGTAGGGATAATTACATCAGGTGTGTCAGACAGGTTTTATGAAACAAGTGTTAAAATGTTATTTTCATAATGAGTTCCCTTCATAAACTGACTTATTATACCTCCATGTCAGAATGATGAGATCTGAGAATAAAACCCTTATACCCCTCCATGAACAAGACAGGCTGCATGTGGATTTTTGATAGGCAGAATAAATCCCTTATACCCCGCCATGAATAAGTCAGGCTGCACATGAATTTTTTAGAGGCAGAAGAAATCCCTTATAACCGCACTTGTACAGACCCTGTGAAACTGTACACAGTAGAACCTCACTTGTACAGACCCTGTGAAACTGGCAACAACCATGACGCATAAAGGCTTCTAATACTTCTATTCTGATCAGATACTTCTTTGCTATACCCCGCCATGAATAAGTCAGGCTGCACATGAATTTTTTTACATGCGAGTCAATGAAAGTCATGTGACATAGCATGTGATGTCGGTAAGATAAAATTTGTTGCAGCAGAATCACTTGGGGTACTTGGGGTTTTACTTGCCCCCTGCTCGTAGTATAAAACCTAACATGGGTGGCATACCCCGAGTGATCCTGCTACATCTAATAATATCTACCACGTCAAAAATATAAATATATTTAAAAAATTTCAAAACCTCCAGGAAACTGTTAATAAAGCTGATGTGAAGACAATAAACATAGATCTCCGCACAGCTCCAGCTATCTTGAAACAAACACCAGCCATAATTTTATCTCTGAAAATCCAAGATAATACATCCTTCAAGAGTTTCCGATTTCATCATAATTCCCACATAAACCTTGCAATCACTCTGCGATAATGTCCTTCAACAAACACACCAGTGAAAGCCCTAATGGGGGATTCTCTCAAGCCCTGACAAAATCTTCTGTGACTGTGAGTTCAATTAAAGATGTAATATGATGCTAGAAAAACTAACACAAGTTCTCCCCGAGAGGTGATAAATACTGGATCTAGTGATTGGGGAATCTTTTGTTTCCAATAAAAGAAGGCAAACTCCTATCCGAAATGCCAGTGATTGCGTTAACCAGAGATGACATAAATATTTATCTCACAGCTTTGAATTTCCACCCTTTTATTTGAAGCAGATGGGGAATTTAAATGTAACACAGCTACACATTCTTAATAGGTTTGGTTTCTTTCTTTTGTGTTTCTGTAGATACCGCCAGACTTTTAGTTTTTTCTATTCTTTTCTTTTTTTCACCTTTTAAAGAAATATGACTGTGAGGCTATGGTGAATGGTCAACATTATTCCATCTATATGGCAGTCGGTAAATAATCAAGTTTGGACATGACAATCCAGTGATTAACATCATGAGCATCGACCTATGCAATTGGGACTACATGACATGCATTAACCAAGTCAGGGAGCCTGACCACCCGACCCCGCTAGTCGCCTCTTACCAAAATGATGTTGAAAGATGTTGAAAGAACCAATTTTAACCCTTGGTGGTGTTGGGGCTTGTGTGTGTGTGATAAATGGAACATCTACCATACTAAGTGTAAATCAGTGCCCCAGCTGGTTTAAACTTCATCAAAACGCTGACAAATATAAAGTATTTCTTCACTATTATAGCTGGCAGTCTCCATTTCAATAACATATGCAAAGAATGAATCCAATAACTCGCACCTCCCGAACACACACACAAGAGGGAAAGAAATGTACCTTGGATTTTTAAAATTACTTTCTCAATTCATATTGGAAACAGGGCGTGCCACCAGTCTAAATGGTATTCAGATCACAAATGAGTTGAGACTGGTGGTTTAGATGGGGGTGCTTAGAGGAAGGCAGTTTAGATGCAAGTGCTTTAGAGGGAGGCAGTTTAGATGGAGGTGCTTAGAGGAAGGCAGTTTAGATAGAGGTGCTTAAGAGGAAGGCATTTTAGATGGAGGTGTTTTAGATGAAGGCAGTTTAGATAGGGGTGCTAAAAAGGAAGGTGGTTTAGGTGGAAGGGCTTTCAAGGAAGATGGTTTAGATGGAGGTGCTGAAGAGGGAGGCAGTTCAGTGTTAGAAATTGGCACTAGTACTGTAGTCCTTGCCAAACTGCCCAATAGTTGAGCTATCATAAGGAATGTAGACATTTGCCCTTTTTAACGGTTTTGCTATATGTTATCATTATAAGGACCTGTGGACTAAAATTGTTTGTTTCTAACGCTAGATGGAGGTGCTTTCAAGGAAGACGGTTAGGAAAGGTGCTTCAGAAGAAGGTGGTAAGAGGGAGGTGCATTAGAGGAAGGCAGTTTAGAGGGAGGTGCATCAGAGGAAGGCAGTTTAGATATAGGTGCATCAGAGGAAGACCGTTTAGAGGGAGGTGCTCAAGAGGAAGACCGTTTAGATGGAGGTGCTCAAGAGGAAGACCGTTTAGATGGAGGTGCATCAGAGGAAGACCGTTTAGAGGGAGGTGCTCAAGAGGAAGACCGTTTAGATCGAGGTGCTCAAGAGGAAGACCGTTTAGGTGGAGGTGCTCAAGAGGAAGACCGTTTAGATGGAGGTGCTCAAGAGGAAGACCGTTTAGATAGAGGTGCTTTTGAGAAAGGTGACATGGATAATAATCTAATGATTATTGTCACTGGCATAACCCATTTTCTTATTTTCAAAAGCAAATTTTGAACCACACTTCAACCTCCTGTTGCCGTGACATGGTCTCAAGCCTCCTCCCCCAGAAGCATCCCACTTCAGTAGAAGACGTGGGACACACTACAAAGGCTGCTCGGATGCAGAACATGTGGCCCTGTCTCCCACGCTATAAATGTGCTCACAAGCCACCACAGGTTCCTACTTGAAACCGTTTGAAACAGAAGTCGTCTTCACAGAGTGAAGGCGAAGACTTCCAAAACACTGGAAACATGGACATACTTGATGTTTATTTAAAACCAACCTTTGAGATGGTATGTAACTATCTGCAAACAGAAGTATCCCATTCCGGAATCAGCAAGAGGTGTCGGGAAAAGGATTTTAATGAAGGTGATGTTGACAGGCAATCTACAATACCACGCCCTTGTTTCCTTAGGATCTAAACATTTAACTATTGCTCCTTTCATCATATGTAACAAGTGCCTTTGAGAAAAACACTATTGAATTTTGTATGGTTTTATCTCCAAATTGCATGTCCTCACAAAAATGTGAAGAGGTCTTTTAATGATAAGAAGACCT